CATCTTCTTTTGTTTCTGGTAGTCAGAATCTAAAGCAGATGGACTGGAAGCACATGGGAAGCAAGTCCAGTTGGTATCACTGGACAGTGGGCAGATTTAATGTTGGAGTACCCGCTGCTTTGGTTTTCTGGTAGGACCTTTAAAGTCCTAAATGGCCTGGGTCCAATGTTCCCTCTAAGCTGTGGAGTCTTGTGAGCAAAAATTCAACTTTGTGAGATACTGGCATTAAAGTCGTGAGCGAGCAGTTTGCCTACTGCATAAATTAGTTTGCTCTGGAGCCATCCTTTCTGAGCGAAGACAAAAATGTGTGAGCCAGAGGGTAAAAAACTGTGAGCTAGCTCACACTAACTCAGCTTAGAAGGAACACTGCCTGGGACCCTCATATCTTCGAGACCGCCTCTCCCAGCATGATCCTCCCCCTCTTCTCCGATCTTTATCTCAGCATTTATTGTAGGTCTCTGGTCCACGAACTGTCCACCTTTTGTCAACAAGGGCGAGGATAGTGGCCCCCTATCCTGTGGAAAAAGCTGCCCAAAGAGGTGTGTGCCTTGCAGGGCCTCCCTGGGTTCCACAAGGCATGCAAGGCTGCTCTGTTTTGGGTGGCCTTTGGGTGATTGGGATCCACCAAGCAGCTATTATGCTTCAACTTTGTCTTCAGCATCCACACATCCTACTCTGCTTGATTAGAGGATAGATTTTTAATAGTTTTATATTTTTAGATGTTAATATCTTTTGTATTATTTTTATCAGGTGTTATTTTATATGCTGTTAGCCGCTCCAAGTCTCGTTTGGGGGAAAGGGAGTGGGATATCAATTTGATAAATAATAATAATAAAAATAGATGAATAGTAGCATGCGCTACTATTCTATACTGTGTGTGTGTGTGTGTGTGTGTGTGTGTTCCCGTCTCTAGTTCCAGCTCCTGCCAACCTAGCAGTTCGAAAGCAAGAAATTGTAAGTAGATAAATAGGGACCACTTCAGTGGGAAGGTAACAGCGTTCCGTGCGCCTTGGTGTTTAGTCATGCCGGCCACATGCCGGAACTCCGGGCCCCTAAATACGTGACTCCAAAATGAAATTTTGGCAGGGGGGACTCCATGGGGGAGAAGTTGTGCTTTGTAAAATTCCCTCTCCGTGGAAACAAAATCCTCTGCCATTCTTTTGTATCTGATCCTGCCCCCTCCCAGACCAAGCAGGTAGAAATCCAGCTGGCAAAGCTCTTGTTTAATGGGTCGGCTGAGAACAATGGTCATGGTTATACATTTTAGTTAGGTTTATGGAAAGCCAGGGAAAGATGAATCAGGTTCAGGGTTTTTATAAGAATTTTTTTTGGGGGGGAACCCTATATTTTACAATAGTGGAACTGTCCTTATGGAGGCAGTGATATCTTGAGTTTGCTTTTTTAGAATCTAATTTTTTGTGTTAAGTTTATTTGCAAAAGGTGGGTTTTCACAGTTGTTGACAGTGAGGCGGTTTATATCTTGATAGTACTTTCAAAACAAAAACAATCCATGATTAAAATTCAATTGTGTTGAGGAGCTGCTTAAAATTTAGGGATGCCAGCCTCCAGGTGGGACCCGAGGATCCCCCGGAATTACAGCTCATCTCCAGACTACAGAGATCAGTTCCCCTGGAGGAAATGACTGCTTTGGAGGGTGGACTCTGTGGCATTGTACCGCACTGAGGTCCTTGTCCTCCCCAGGATCCATCCCCAAATCTCCAGAAGTTTCCCAACCTGGATCTGGCAAACCTACCCCCCCCATCCCCCACCAATGAGCAGGAAGGACCTGGCACCCCTATTAAAAATCCCAGACGTAGAGTTCCTTCAAAGGCCTTCTTGAACAGATGGGTCTTGGAAGATGGCTCCCACAGGTGTTCAGTGATGGTGCGAACTCACAATTCCACAGTTTAGAGGTTGCAGCAGAGAAGGCTTCATGTGATACAGATAATTATTATGTTTTTAAAAAAAGGATTAAAAAAGGTCAGGAGGCAAGCACCTGTCTCCCTCCTGTCCTCCTCCTGTTTACTCCATAAAAAGAAGAAGAGAGAAGAGATTGGATTTATACCCCACCCTTCACTCGGAGTCTCAGAGCGGCTTACAAACTCCTTTCCCTTCCCCTCCCCACAACAGGCACCCTGTGAGGTGGGTGGGGCTGAGAGAACTCTGACACAAACTGCTCTTTTTCAAGCACAGCTGTGCCAGAGCTTGTGACTGACCCAAGGTCACATCAGCAGGTGCAAGTGGAGGAGTGGGGAATCAAACCCGGTTCTCCCAGATCAGAATCCGCGCACTTAACCACTACACCAAACTGGCTCTCAGAAGCCTGAAGAACATAAGACCCCTGCTGGATCACCTCAGTGGTCCATCTAGTTCACATCCTGTCTCACACCTACCAGTTCTTCTGGATGGCCAACAAACAAGATCTGAAGGAGTGGGCAGTGACTCACAACAGCTCAAACCCTGCCACAAATTTTGCTAGTCTTTAAGGCACTCCTGGACTCTTGCTCTTTTCTGCTACTACAGTAGCTTACGGCAGCTTTTTCTCCATTTTGTAAAGGTGGGCTGTGCTTTCCTGGAGGTCAAGAAAATAGATTTCGCCTTTTGCATTCCACACAGGGCTGGCTCTTGTGTATATTCAAATAGCGTGTGCATTTCTAGCTGAACATGATAATCTGGGCTGAAGCAATTCCTCCTTACTCTTGTTTTTTTTGTTTCTTTCTCTCAGGAGGGGACTGAGAAGCTGGTCAGTTACGGGCCTCTGAAGCCTCCAGAGCTCTGCAGGGAGAGTCCCGCCGAGAAAGTCCCACTGTGGACTGTGTGACGTTTTGTTTTCGCTGTACCGGCCTTGACACGGGGACAGCGACAAGCACCATCTAACAGACCTGTTTGTAGCGAGCAGGTAGGTTAGGCCAAAGTTAGACCTGGCTTGAGACCTTCCTTGCCTGACAGAGAAAATGGCCTCCACACAGTCATGGGAGGTAGCTGCCTTCGACCCCGAGTTTCAGGCTGCCTTTGCAGAGGCAATGGGGAAACCGACAGGGCCTGAGCTGGACTTGGGAGGCCATGGTGACGGGGTTCAGTCAAAACCATACGAAAAGACACTTCAGTGCTGGGAACTTGAGTTCCAGGAGTTTCTGGATGCGGAAGACTGGCCCTGGGAAGACTCGCGGCTGCAGGATGGGCTAAGCCCCTGGGAGAACACGGAGACCTTCTTAGCGTCATTCCAGCAGGTTGCCCAGGCTTGCCGTTGGCCCCAGAAAGAGTGGGTGACCCGGCTGCTCCCGGCCCTGGATGAGGAAGCCGAGAAGGCCTTTCGTAGTCTGGACGAGGAAGACCAGCACAACTTCTGGAAGGTGAAGAGGGCCATTTTGCAAAGGGAGGCCATCAACCGGGAGCGGAAGCGGCAGCAGTTCCGGCGTTTCTGCTACCAGGAGGCAAACGGCCCCCGGGAGGTCTTCCTTCACCTCCAGTACCTTTGCCATCAGTGGCTGAAAGTGGAGCGGCAGTCCAAGGAGCAGATCCTGGAGCAGCTGATTCTGGAGCAGTTCCTCAGCATCCTGCCAAAGGAAATGCAGGCCTGGGTCAGGGAGCGGTGCCCTGTGACCTGCAATCGGGCTGTGACCCTGGCAGAAGATTTCTTGAGGAAGCTACTGGCAGCCGAGGGGAAGGAAGGGCAGGTGAGGAGAACGCTTTGTCCTGAAAATCAAACAGGCCAGAGAGTTAGGGTCACTTGGTGAATTAGGGAAATGGCATGTGTACCTTGCACAACACAAAGCATTTGGTATACCTTATACTCGGGAGTCCCCAGCCTTTTTGAGCCTGTGGTACCTTAGGAATTCTGACACAAGGTGGTGGAGCCAGCCACAAAATGGCTTCTGCAGAAGTCTCAGAACCAATGACAGAATGTCAAGAAATGGTATTGTGAACTCTTAGTAAAAGCTTTAACATTTCATGCAGAAGCTCTGCTTAACAGGGTGCTGTAGTTTGCCGGGGTTCAAAGAAGACACGACACAGCCAGCTTCTGCAGAAAGCTGACTGAATGAATGAATCCTCTCACTCACCAGCTATATTTATTGACAATCCGTCTCCTCCTTTCCCCCTCCCCTTCATACATTACAGCATCCTGTCATGAGACATGAACTAAGGAATGTGTGTGTATGTACGTACAGGCAGCTGTCTGTCATCTCTCTCTCGCAACTCTGCCAAGGCCAAATGACTGCTTCATTAAGCAGTAAACAGATTCCATCTCGGGCTCTCAGTACATATATACATTTGGGTTCCCAATCTCCAGCCAGGAGAACAGGAGAGCAGTGAATTCTTCACTGTGCCTACAGGGTGCCTTTTTAAAACGAGTACGTTGTCTTCAAAATATTTTCCTGCCGACATAATTCAGTCATGCAGAGACGATCCTTGTGCTGTCGGACCCCTGCTGCGAAAGCAATTTTTAAAAATAATCTGTACGGCCAGGCAGACGCCCAATCTGGCCCCACCTGGTTGCTAAAAACACCTGGGCATCAGGAGAGGTGTCAGTGGGTGCCACGGAGCCCACAGGTGGTACCCTGGGGACCTCTGCCTTACCTGTATTGTCCATCCAATGTCTAGATCTTAACTGGTGGGTGGGACACAGTGGGAGGAGGTGGTCCTTCCATATCCCAGGCCTACACCAAACTGTGTGCCCCTGTTGGAAAGACGCCCCTTGCTTTGATTTCATGGCCAGTTTGATTCCCCCCTCCCTTGTGTGATGGCTTCTTCTTGCATGTAAGTTGAGCCGGAGTGTTGTGCTGACTTGTTGGTCTTGGTCCTCCCAAACGTTTTAGCATCTTCAGGAGCTGGAAAATGCCGCACTGGATTATTCCAAGCCCAAAGTGTCTCAACAGGGTAGGGACCTGCCATGGGTCCAAAAGGAGATCAACCTGGACACCAGTGCCTCGAGGAAGTCCTATCCAAGTAGGGACCTGCCATGGGCTCAGAAGGCGATCAACGGGGACTCCAGGTCATCGAGGAGGTCCTATCCAAGTAAGGAACGTCCGTGGCACCTTCATCCTGGGACCCTTCTCTTTGAAATTTGGGTGGGAGGGGGGTGCTCAGTAGCAATATTTTATTTCTCACAGTAGAAGAACTCGTGGGCACTCAATGAAATTAATGAGCGGTAGGTTTAGAACAGATAGAAAGAGTAATGAACACGTGGAATTAACTGCTGCAGGAAGTGGAGGCAGCTACAAGCATAGGCAGCTTCAAGAGGGGATTGGGTAAACATCTGGAGCAGAGGTCCAGCAGTGGCTGTTAGCCACAAGGTATGGATGGAACACTCTGTCTATCGCAGTGACGCTCTGTACTCTTGGCGCTTGGGGGGCCACAGTGGGAAAAGAGAACCTTTGGTTAAGAAAATGGAGATTGGTTCCAGTGAATGATGTACACGATGCACTGAGTGATTCTTGAGAAAGAAGGCTGGAAATGACTTGACAGCCAGGGAGTCGTTGGATCACTTATGCGGCAGCAATGATTACTTGTCCTACAGTGGTGGAAATCAGTGTTCCCTCTAAGCTGAGTTAGTGTAAGCCAGCTCACAGTTTTTGTAGCCCCCAGCTCAGACATTTTTGTCTTCGCTCAGGAAGGATGGCTCCAGAGCAAACTAATAAGAACATAAGAACATAAGAGACGCCAATGTTGGATCAGGCCAAAGGCCCATCCAGTCCAACACTCTGTATCACACAGTGGCCAGAAATACCAGGTGCCATCAGGAGGTCCACCAGTGGGGCCAGGGCCGGAACATTTTAAGCCTTCCCACTGTTGCCCCCCCCCCCCCAAGCACCAAGAATACAGAGCATCACTTGCGGTAGCCAAATCGCTCGCTCACAGCTTTAATGCCAGTCGCTCACAAAGTAGAATTTTTGCTTAGAAGACTCCACAGCTTAGAGGGAACATTGGTGGGAATGTTGAATCGCCTCTTCTTTTGCAGCAAGCTCTGAAATAAAATATTACCTTGGATTACATTTATACAGGAGCTAGCTATTTAGATAGGAGAATATTTGGACCGTTCCTATTATATTTTTTTTTTTGGTTACTTTGATTCTGTACTTGACTGCTTTTATGTCAATCTGAGTGGATTTTGTAAACACCTATAAGGCAATTATACTTGTTTAGTACACCGCACATAATTTATATTTTCATTAAATATTATTGCACATATTATATGTTAATACACGGTGCGCATCCTATTGTTTTGTGCTTTATTCCATCGTGGCCCCTGTTTTGTTGATGAATGCAGTGCTCGCCTGTGCCGACTTTTCATCTTCTTCCCACCAGATTACGATGACGTCAAAAGGAGCAGGAAGAAGAGCCTGGAGCGGGGACGTTCAGAGCCAGTCGAGCGTTGCCCGAAACCTCGAGGAAGACCCCCCAGGGCCTCTCCCTACCCGGTGAAGAAGGAATGGCGCCGTCGCTCGGAGAGACTGCGAAAGCCCAGCCCCTCTCCGCCTCGGGAAGAGACCCGCAAGAAATTCCGCAGGGCCTCGCTTCCCCCGGAGACCCCCCGGGACAGAACGAAAATCTGCCCGGAGTGTGGGCAGAGCTTCTCCGGGCTCTCGAGTTTCATGAGGCACCAAGCCCGTCACACGGGGGAGAAGCGCTACGAATGCTGCTTTTGCGGCCGGGGCTTCTGCTGGCGGTCCGACCTGGTTCGGCACGAGACCATCCACACGGGGAAGAAGCCGCACGAGTGCCAGTTCTGCGGGGAAGGGTTTGACCGCAAGTGGCAGCGGGAGAGGCACGAGCTAGGGCACGCGAAGGTCAGGAGGAGGCTTTGATTCAAGCGGTGACGGGGCAGGGAGAGGCCTCCTGGGATACTGTGTGTGTGTGTTTGTGTCCCAAATTAGCCCCATTTCATTTATAGCAGATGTGAGCTGGTTTATACGTGCCGACAAAGGGGGTCTCTTCCTATCGAAGGTCCTAATGAAGGGGGGTGGGGCTTGCGGGAGCGTCTGTGGCTACATTTTCTGGTTAGCTGTAATCTCGTAACAGTTCCCCCATCTCTGCCATTATGCAGCTTGCAGGAGTCGCAGAGCCTGTTCTGCGGTAGGTGATCTCAGGAAAATCTGCATTGGTGGGAGAGGGGGGAAATCGACCCCACCAAATAGATGAGGTCATTTCTGCTCATTCTGCTGGAAGTGACTCGAAATGTATCACTGTCCAGTCCTCCTTTGGAAACCACTCCATTCAGAAGACAGTGCTTTCATGGGTCAGGATCGCACCCGCTATTCATTAGCGTGCCAGATTATTTCGATGGAGTGGTCCTTGGTAAGCTACGGTTGGATCCACACATCATTGTATTTTGTGCCATTGTGATCCCTTTATTGCCTGGCTTTTCCTGGTAAAAATCCAGGAGGAGCAACATTGCAAATGGAGCACTGTCCAAGTTATGTGTGAATCCTGCCAAAGGGACAAGAACTCTGCCAGTTCCTGAATTCTCTCCAGATTTCTCATCCATCCTGATGGATTTCGGAAACATGTTAAGCTGTTTAAATGTATAAAAAAGAAGGGATGTGAAATGGGGAAACGGATATTTGGGAATAGCTAGGGTCTCTTTAAATGCAAATCCCCCCCCACACACACACACAAAATCTAGGATTTATTTTCTTTTAGCAAACTCTGCTTTGATTTCCATTGTTGTTGTTTTTGCATAATATAAGTTGGGGCCAAATAACGTTTTTATGGGGCAGATGGATAGTCAGAAATGGGGTTACGGGTATAGCATTAAAGAGGTTGTCCCATCCCTTCTCTGTGTTATTTCTCTGATAGGAAAGCCACCTCCCCCAAAGCTGCCTTCTTCCATGTTGCAACTAATAGCAGTGTGTGTGTGTGTGGGGGGGGAATGAAATTGGGGAAGGATTACCCACCACATGGCTGTAGCCTGACCCAAGTCAGGCCTTCTTGTGGCGCCACCATAATGCCAAAGGAAACATTGGGAGATTAGAACACGATCTCCCACTTAAAGGAGCGCTCGGGCCCTTTTGGCTTGTATTTTTACGCTTTTTCGGGAGGGGGGGGGTCCAACCCACCTCTTCCTAATCAGAGTCAGCATTTTCTATCCAGAACTATTATTCGCTCAGTGGCTGTAGATGTCATGATCTCTCTGGCTGGAGCATCTGTCTATCACCACTTCTCTGCTGACCCCACAGGTAGTTTCTGGTATAAAAGCTGTCGTGTAGCATTATTCTGTTCTCTCCTTCTGCCCTTTTGCAGCAGTCACAGCTTGCATAGTAACCCTTCATCAGTCCTCCGCCAGTGGCATCTGGATAAAGCGCTGTTGTTTTCCTTTGTTCAAAATAAAAATAAGTACTAGATCAGTGCAAATTGAGCTCACTGTACTATGGCCCGTACCTACTTTTGCAAAAAGATTGAAATTTTTGAGTCTGTTGTCAAAAGTGCTGCCGTTTTTAATTTTGCACTGTTCCGACCCGCTTGAGGTTTTATGGTATGAGCGTTTTTAAAATTAACTTTTATGATGTTCTGACTCACACAAGTCGAAAGTTTGTACTTTTTTAATACTCGTAGTTTTTGTAACAAACCGATGGTGTTCTTTTATGCTATTAAAGATCAGTTTTGTTCAGTAGACCATGAGTTACTGTTTAAGAAATCCAGATCGTAACTTTTAACGTTTAAATATCCAAGTACAATCTATTATGTGTGGCGCAACGGTTTGCTCTTACCTGGATAGGCTGGGGGAAGGCCGGGCTAGCCCCATCTTGTCAGACCTTGGAAGCTAAGCAGGGTCAGCTCTGACTAGTGTTTGGATGGGAGACCTCCAAGGAATACCAGAGTCGTGACGTGGAAGAAAGCAACGGCAAGCCACCTCTGAACATCTATTGCCTTGAAAACCCTACCGGGTCACCATAAATCGACTGTGACTTGATGGCAAAAAAAAAGTGATTCAAGTGTCAAGACTAGGAGTCTGGGAAACCCAGGTTCAAATGCTGGTTCTGCCACGGAAGCTTGCTGAGCAACCTGGGCCAGTCATGCACTCTCAGCCTAACCTACTTCACAGGGTTGTTGGAGAGGAAAAAAATTGAGGAGAGGAGAGTGATGTAAGATGTTTTGGGGAGACAGGTGGGATATAAATGGAGTAAACAAAAAAGATTCCAGAGTTGGTGTGTGGTAGCTGAAACAGTACCATTTTGTGACACTTTGAACAACTTAAAAATTCATTGTGAAGGGTTAGCCTCACATGAGACAACTATTCATAGAGAACTGCTCCTCTTAGGTCAGCAGCTGAATGTCCTGGAGGGTTAAATGTTCTCCCACTATTTTTGAATGTTGTGATTTCTAATGTCAGACTTATATCCACTTATTCTTTGCATCCTCCTGGACCGAACTGAGACCTAGGTTTCCTGTCTCATTACCAGTGCTGGTATTGCCACACCTACTACTTCTCTGAATATCGCTCCTAATCCAATCAAACCTCCTATTGTCATTCACCTGCAATTGCTGTTTGGCATCTGAAACCATCTTTATAAAGTTTATATCTCCACTACTTTGTATTACATTTTATAGAACATGTGGCCCGGCCCGACAAAGTGACATTTACGTCAGATCTGGCCCTCGTAATAAATGGGTTCGACACCTCTGGGCTAAAAGCTAGCCAGACAGAGGGGGGGCTGATATTGCAGATTATAGATAAAAAAGGATGTGCATTATTGTGCAGAACCGGAAGCAATCTCCATATTGCTGTGGGCCACTCAACTGGGTGATGAATTGGTAAGGCAAGAAGAACAACAACATAGGACTGTTCTGTAAAGAGGGAGAAATTCTCTGTAAATCTTAGCTACCCCTGTAGTGAGACCACAAGACTCTTGCGTGTCAAATCTGCAGTTTACTGGGGTGTCCTTTAGGAAACGATGCCGAAAAACAAGGACTTTAAAGTCCGCTGGCTACTGAAAGTCTACAGAAGGTTGGACATGTGCCTCCCCCGCTATGTGGAATACAGACAGCTTGTGTGATGTGGTTGCATTCTGGGTTCAACTCTCCACCGGGCATGGGTTCAACTCTCCATCCTTGCTAGATCATTCTGAGGGGGGAAAGAGATGATAGAATTTGTGGCAATTCCTAGAGCTTACCCATTGTCACTTCCAGCAGTTTTCATGGCCTCAGCGAGCGGCTGTTGCCTGGTAACAGCTTTACAGGACTAGGCTGTAAGGGGCGGGATCTTGTGCTGCTCCCCAGGCTTGAAAGCCTGTTCTCAAGAGGACAAAACCTGTTACATGTTCCAGATGCTGGGTGGCAGGACTTGGAGATCCAGCAAGGAACTTTGGGAGGGGCTGTGGCTCAGTGGTGGAGTGTCTGCTTGGCATGCAGAAGAAGGTCCCCGGTTCAATCCCCGGCATCTCCAGTTGTAAGGACCAGGCAGCAGGTGATGTGAAAGACCTCTGCCTGAGACCTTGGAGAGCCGCTGCCAGTCTGAGTAGATAATACTGACTTGGACGGCCCGAGGGTCTGGTTCAATTTAAGGCAGCTTCATGTGTTCAAGGGGTGCATCGTGTCTCAGTGTGCATCTCCAGGGGTCCCAGCACACAAAGCCTTTCTCCACCTTCTGCCTGTCCTGCTGGCAAATATAATACCAGAAGCGGGAGCCCTACGGCACAGACAGACATTGCAAGTTACTTGGGATGGGTTAACTAAGCTTACCATTCCCCTGAATGGGAATCTCCTGATTGGGATCCAAGTGATGGGAGGAGAAAAAAAAATCCCGTGCACCACAACACCACTTCCAATGAAACCCCAGAAGTGACATAGTGTAGCTCTAGGACTTGCTGGAAACTCCATGCTATGGTGATTCCTAGAGCTACCCTACAGCAATATTCCCTCTAAGCTGTGGAGTCTGGTGAGCAAAAATTCTACTTTGTGAGCTACTGGCATTAAAACTGGGAGTGAGTGATTTGGCCACTGCATAAATTAGTTGGCTCTGGAGCCGTCCTGCCTGAGCTAAGACAGAAATGTGAGCCGGAGGCTAAAAAACTGTGAGCCAGCTCACACTAACTCAGCTTAGAGGGAACACTGCCCTACACCACTTCCAGGTTTTTTCCGGAAAGTGATGTGGCAGCACATTTGATGTTGCGGCCCCATATGTGTCCCTGTCCTCAACCATTCTGCTGGTGTATTCAAACTCTTCCAATATTTCTGCAAACGTGTGTGTGTGTGTGTGGGGGGTGTTCCCCTGCCACAAAATCAGGGTCCAAAGAGGATTTTATTATGCCTTCTACACAGCAGGTCGTCTTCTGATAGTGTAGCTACCGGCTTGGGCTGCCCCCCAGATGGATCCCCCGGTTGCTGTTGCAACTGCCTGTGAGGTTGCTAAATCCTTTCACGTCTGCATTACTCAAGGTATGTTTGGCAGTACTGTGAGCTGTTTTCTTAACAGACGCTAGGGGCCGCTCTGTCTTTACACAAAAAGCAGACCCTGGTGGGCAGCCCTGTTGGTTTGAAGCAGCAGAACAAAGTTGGAGTTCCCTGGCGCCTGAAGGAGCTGTGGCTGTGCGCGCACAAGAGAAAGCGCATACCATGAATAAAACTTGGTTGGTCTTAAAGGAGCCACGCTTGGATTCCAACGTTGTTCAAAAGCAGGTACTATTTGCATGGGGCATCTCACACAGAAGGGACCAGAGAATCCAGAGCCACTGCAGAATAGCATTCCTGAGGCACACGTGGCACATTATTCCTTCTTCCAACTGGGTCTGGTGCTTTGGAAAAATGAGAAGCTGCCCTGAGGAGCTTACGCTGTAAAGTTAGACACGGAGGGGAGGGATGTGGGACT